CCCCGGGGAGCCGAGCTCCCCGCACACCCCCCTGCCCAGCTCAACCTCCCCCCCCCACCCCAGGCACCCTGGCTGATGCTGCACAGAGCAGCCCCAGCCCATCCTGCTGCTGCCCCACACAGGCTCCTGCTGCCCCCCTCCCCAGGAACCCCCAGCCATGGTTGGAAGGAGCCTCAGGAGTGCTCTGGTCCTCCAGCCCACCCTGTGGTCAGCTCAGACTCTCAGCTCCCAGCCTGCTTGGCCTCATAGCAACAGGGTTTTCCTTCTGTGTCACTCACTGCAGTAGACCTCTCTGAGCCCCAGAAGAGGGACCAGCCCCTCCTTGCAAGAAGGGCTTTCTGCTGCTCCAAAACACTCCCTGTGCCAGCCCCTGGAGCTGCTTCCCCCAGCCCAGGCTGCAGGAGCAGCTGTGCTCAGCCCTGAGCCCCAGCACACGGTCCCAGCCCCCTGGGAACCCAGCACAGCACCACTCCTAGCAAACTCCCTTCCTGCACCCCTTGATCAGCCAACTCCCACCCCAAGGCCTTACAGACACTGACATGACTTACAACAGTCACCTGGGCTGCAAAACCTTCCTATTTTTCCTGTCTCAAGCCCAAGCCTGACCTGTGCTCTGTCCCCAGCACTGGCCCTGCCTGCACACCCAGGCCTGGCTGAGCCCAGAGCTCCTGCACTCAAGTCCCAGTTTCAAAATTTGAGAGGAATGAGGAACACGATGCTGAGCAGGGAAGAGTCAGGGCCAGGGAAAGGGGATTTCCCAGGGCACCCCAGCAGGGTGCAGAGCTGCTGCCCTTGCAGCACACACTGGGCTGGGGGAGCTGCTCAGACTCCTACCTTGGAAGCTGAGTGCTGGCCCACTCTGGCTCTTCAGCAAGGAAAAGCTGCTGTGATCCATGTCCAGTTCCTGCAGGAGCCCAGCCCCAGTGCTGTGGGAAGGGCTCAGGCCCAGGCTCCACAGAGCAGCTCTGTGTCCCACAGCTTCCCTCCCTTGCAACCTTCCAACTTGGACAAAGGCAGAAAGATCTATACAGTATAATATATATATTTCACTATGAAATAGCAATTTCGTCCCCTGCCTTCTCCATGCATCCAGAATCAGATGCTGCTTCAGAAGTCACTCCTGACGGCTGGCAGGGCTGGGCTGTTCCTCATCCAAGGCAGCTGCCCTCCCTGGGAGTTGTTGCCCTCCCTGGGAATTGCTCTCCCTGGAAGCCCCAGCAGCTGCCCTGGCAGGACCTGGACATGATCTCTGCTCCTTGCTCCCTCACCCAACTCCCACCTTTCCCTCCAGCTGCCTGCTCTGCCAGCAGGGACCTGCCAGGGTGCTCACAGCTCACTCACATGGTTGGTCAGTGCAGATTCGTTAACATAATTGAGGCTGCTCTCAGCAGCCAGTGGTGTGGGAGCAGCAACCAAACCCCTCTGACATCAGGGCTACAAACAGGAGTAACCAGAGGCAAGGGAAGTGGAGGGGACAGTGGAGGATGCACAAGGACACCAGGCACAGCCAGGCCTGCCTGGGCAGCACTGCTGGGCTCCAGGCCTGGGGGCAGCAGGAGTGCAGCCTGTCATGGGTGGAGCCTGCCCAAACCTTGGCCAACCTGTGGGACAAGGAGTCCTGGCCAGGGGTGGGGTCAGTGACCAAGGAGCTGTCCCTGCTGGAATCAGCGTGGATGGTTCAGGAGATGGAAGGAAGAACGATCCTGTGGAGAGATAAAAGAGGGGAACTGGGTGTTAGGGGCCTCTTCCAGGATATTTAAAAGCCTCTGAGGACCTTGCTGCACTGCAGCTGTGTCACCTGGGACACTGCTGGGGAAGCAGCAAGGACATGGTGGCTCTGGCAGGATGGAAGGAGAGAGGCAGCAGGGACAGGCTGGATCTGCTCTCAGGCCCTGGGCTCCAGGCAACAGCTCAGAGCTGAAATTCCCCCCCAGACACAGGGCAGAGATGCAGTGTTGGCATCACCCCGGTGGCAGTGCCAGCCCTGGGGACAGGCTGGAGCTTTCCCAGGGACCCACCTTGGATTTCCCTGCATCCTGGCAGCCCCTCACATGGTCCTGCTGTACTCGATGCCGCTCTTGGCAGAGATGCCAGACCAGGGCAGGAGGCTGCAGAGCAGGTTCTGGGCCTGGCGATAGATCCTCTGGGGGATGGAGCAGGGGCTCAGGCTGGCCAGTGTGGACCCAATGTGCTGCAGGTAGTCAGTGGCCACCAGTTAAGGACAGCAACCTCTGCTCTGCAACTCAAGAAGTAACTTCCCAAGACCCCACGGAGTCGCAACCCCCTGAAGAGGCTGCTCAGCTCCCTCAGGCACCATCTGCTCCTTCCCTTCATGGCCTGCTCCTCTCTCTCAGAAGCAGGGCTGCTTGGCAGCACCAAGGAATGGAAGTTGGGAACACTGGCCCCAGCCTGTGTGGGAAATGCCTTCTCTAAGCAGCTGCTGGTTTCCTTGGCACTCCAGAGCAAGTTCCCGTGGGAATGGCAATCCATCCATCTGCCTGGAGAGGTTTGGATGGACTAGCTACACCCAGGAAGGATCAAGTTTCTTCTCCATGATCCAACGACCTGAAATAAACTCCCCCAAGTCAGTCTGAGCTCCAGGGCAGGGTCACAGGGGATCCTGGACCACAGGAAACAAGACCAAGGGCCTCTCTGCCAGGCTGCTGGGCAGACCCTGCACCACACAGGGCACACAGGGCACTCTGGCTTAACACCAGCTCTGGCATTAAATGTGCTCCAACTCTGAATCATCCTACTCTGCCCCCCTGACCCACCCCCCAGGGGAGCTGGAGCACAGGCAGGTCACTGCCACATCCCTCTCACAGCCCCTTCCTTCCAGCTTCAGATTAAACCCACGTCTGAGCAGGCATCAGTTCCCAGATCTAGCCGGGTCACACCTTCCCGGGTTGCTGGTTTTAAACCAAACCCACACTTGGGTGTCTGCTTAGAGTGTTCCACTGCTAATCCAACTGGGGGGAAAGGATATAAGATTGTCCAGGGTGGGTGTCCCCCGTTGATGTAGAGGACGTAGGTGAAACCATCTTTGAGGACCCCTCGGATGGAGTAATAATAGGGCAGGTAGTGGTGCTGCTTAAAGTCCCTGTTCTCATAGAAGTTTATTGCTGTGTTGTTGGTGGTGAGGACGTGCAGGTAGATGGCTTTGCAGTGATCCTGGGCTGTGGTGGAGATGTGGTCTTTTAAACTTTCAAGCAAGAGTGAACCTGTTGGAAGGAAAGAGGGAGCAGAAGTGGCATCAGTGCAGCTGCCCTCCCTGGGCTGGTGGGGCCCAGGAGAGACCTCCTGCACCCAAGCAGGGGTTGCTCCAAATGTTTGGAGAGCCCAGATCCCACCCAGTTCTCACACACCCCTTCCAGGAATTGAACAGGACCCACTCCATGATTTGAAGGTGAATCTCACCTTCACCAAACAGATTTGATAAAGGCACAAAACTTCTGGATCAATAACCACATGATTCAGGATCTGCCTCTTCCCAGCAGTTCCCATCCCCAGCCAAGCAGCTCTGGGGAAGCTCAGGGAGTCACTGTCAATGCCATCATCATGGAATCAGTGGATCATCACAGAATGCCAGGTTGGAAGGGACCTCAAGGATGCTCTGGTCCAACCTTGCTAGGTAATAATACAGCTGAACTGGGATGGCCCAGCACCCTGTTGAGCTGAGTCTTCAAATGCTCCAACGTGGAGGAGTCCACCACTTCCCTTGGCAGATGATTCCAATGTCTGACTGTCCTCATGGTGAGAGGCCAGTCAGAATCTCTCCATCCCATTTATTTCTTTTAAAGCCATTTAGAAGAGGAGGGAGGCAAAACAAGACTCCCCCAGCTGGTTATTGTGGCTGAACCCCAAGGAAAAGTTCAGCACTGGCAGGATTTTAAGGTCCCTTCCAAGGAGGAGAGATGAGTCTCACTCAGCCTGGACTTTGTGCAGCCACTAGTCAGCAGGAGAAACCAGAGGAGGGCACAGAGGAAACTCCAGCCCCAAGAGACAAGACCTGGAAGTTCATCCAAACCACCACAACATGGCCCAGAGGACCCAGCAAAAACTGCAGGGGAACTTCTGCCACCAGGTGTGGGAACTACAGGCTGAAGAGGCAGCTTAGCCAGAACAGACTGAGGAGCTTTATGCTGCTGTTTCACCAGTCCCAGAGCACAGGAGACTTCCAGCAGGAGCCACAGGATTTCAGAGAAGTCAACAGCACTGACTTCATGGTCACTTGATGGGAATTTACATCAGCCAAGCACAAGAGCCAGGAAAGCAGTTTCATTCTGTCAGGAGATGTTCCACTCTTCCATCTCACAGAAACCCAACTACCCCCTGGTTGAAGAAGAGCAGAGATCTAGAAACCAAAGCCTTTCCATGTCTACCAGAGACTTTGGAACCATTTGCACACTGTGTTGTGGATCCACCAGTAAAAACATCTCAGGGCATCTGCATTCACAGCAAGAAGGGGATGTGAGGGCATCCTGCTGGGACAAACCAGGACAAGGTTGTCTCCAAAGGGGGTTACAGTGGAATGGTGGAGCTCCTTCAGTCCCACCCACCAGCCACAGGTGGAAATGACAGCATCACAGTTGTCACTATCTTACCTATTCCATGTTTTCTGAACTCCTTCACCACTCCAAGGCTTAGGATGTAAGCAACTTGAGTGTCCAGAGGAAAATTGGAAGCTAGGATGTCTCCATCCTGAGTAGAGATATGACAAGTTACTTAGTAGGACGGCCAGGGAGGCACAGGAGAAGTCAAGAATCCTGCACTGGAACATCTGAAAACAAGGCTAGAGCAGGAAACTTCACTGAACAGGCTGAGCTGAAGCTTCTGGAAAGGAGGTGGGGAGTTAAAGTAACCAAGTATTGTCCCTTAGGGCTTATTCCTACTCTCCTATCATCTTCCCAGATGGAGAAGTTGATGAAGATGGAGCTATCTTGATGATTCCTTGCTCTAAACATTATCTGTGAGCTTAGAAGACATCTGGATTCTTTACCAGGAAGGATTCAAAGAGCCCATTCTGGAGTATTCCATCAGTGTCTGCATCAATCCAGCAACAGCTTTACTGCCTGCAGGCTCCATCAGAGCTTGGTGTCAGCTCTTGGAGATCTCTGTTCTGCTGAGAGGATAAGGAGCATGTTCTGCAGGCTCAGTGTCTAAATAAGCCCCTGGGTTTCAGTTTGGCTGCTACAAGAGCCTTTTGTTAGAACTGCTGAAGATGCAGTTTGTGACTTGGACTAGCTCTGAGGTGAAGCCAGATGGCTGGAGTGGGGAGATCCATCCCACTCCAGGCTCCCTGTCCCTACAAAGGTTCAGATGAATGTTTAATCCTAACAGGGATGGCCTTTCAGAAGTCTCTCCACTCTCTGCACTGCCCCTGGGTGTTGTCAAACCACTTGCCTGTGCTGCTTTCCCCACCCCACTAACCCTTTCCCCACACTGTGCCCATCTCTTCTTCACCTCTCTGCCAAACTGTGTTGTCCCTCCCGGCCTCCAGGCTGTTCTCCCTCAAGCCTGAGCTTCCTGCACCTGGGCTACCTCTTGGTGCTCCAGACAGTGACTGTGTCACCCAAGGAGGTTCTGCAGGAAGGGAAAGCCCCTGGTGCAGGGCAACTGGGGAAGCTCCAGCCTTGTGTAAGGAAGGAAGAGGTTTGTTCTCTCCCAGCTGCCCGTGTGCCCAGGCACTCTGGGGACAGCCAGGCAGCAGCAACGTGGCCTCCTAGTCCTGTTTGGATGAGGCCTCATGGATGCTATCAGGTAGCAAGCCCCTGATGGGCTGCCCAGCCCCAGCAGAACACTCTGTGGTACCACACACATGTCCAGACAACACCCCACCCACCACCCAGGCTCCAGAATCTGGACATTGGCATGTTCTGGGTTTCTTAAATTCACTCAGCATTGCTCTTGTAAATGTCTAGGTGGAGAGGGGGGGGTTAAAAATACCCTCAAGAGGTTCCCTCCCAGTTAACTGTGGTGCACTACCTCCCAGGGAAGCCCAGGTGAGCAGCATACCTCTTTATGCACCTTGGTTCTGCTCTTGATCTCAGCCACTATCATCCCCACGATGGAGCCTCTGTAGGTGGCTGCCAGGGAGAAGAACTTCTTGTTGGAGGTGATATCTCGGTACCATGAGTCAGGGTACCTGGGAAGGAAGGAAGGAAAAATAGGAATCTCTGGGGACATGGAGCCCATGGGAGCAGGAGGTGCTCCAGCCAACAGAGAATCATGGAATGGTTAAGGTTGGGAGGGACTTTAAAGTTCACCAGGATCCAACCCCCTGCATGGGCAGGGACACCTCCCACCAGCCCAGGCTGCTCCAAGCCCCATCCAACCTGCCCTTCAACACTGCCAGGGATGGGGCAGCCACAGCTTCCCTGGGCAACCTCGGCCAGTGTCTTACTGCCCTCGTGGTGAAGAATCCCTTCCTAATATCTAACCTCAACACCCCTCTTTCAGTTTAAAAACATTCCCCCTTGTCCTGTCACTACACCCTCTGGTGAAACATTATGCTCAAATGGTGCTCAGCTGGAAATGGGCAGCAACATGGTATCAGTGCCAGTCCTGGAGCTGCAGACCAATGGATTTCCCACAAAGACTACAAGGTGGGGGGCACAGTTTTCTGCAATGTCACCCCACACAGCTCAGCCTTGTGTCAATCTGAGGCTCTATGCTACTGACTGAGCATATCCCACCAACTCTGGGTTGGGAAGTGATCCACCTTTCTTCTCCCAACTGTTGTAGGGCACCAATGAACACCAGGGAGCTGCTGTGCCCCATGTGCTAACATGGCTTCTCTGATTGCATCTCAGCAGCAAGGCAGGCTGCTCATGGAATGGCCTCCTGCTTTGCTAAGACAACCACAAATTCATTTCACAATCATTGCCCAGAGCTTTCACTTCCAGCTTCAGTAGGTTATTTTTAAACACAAGATCCATCTGCCCTCCTGTAGGAACCTGAGGGTCTCATTAACTTGATACACAAGTGAGAAAAACACTCCATATCGGTCCAAACAAAATAACAAAAAATCCCATCATCGGCCTCCAGCTCTCCCCTCCTGCAGCTACTACAGGGAAACTGGGGTGCTGTGGTTCCCCCCTGGATGCTTTGAGCCAGAAAGGTACCCCTGTTTCCCAGCAAAGCTCCTTTTTCCCGTTGTGCAGATACTGGTATTTGCCAGATGGGGGCCTGGGAGGTGCCCTGGGACAGACTGACAGCAGCTCTAAGCCAGAGCTTTGCCCCAGCTTCGGGAGCAAGTGATCTCAAGGACACAGGCAAGTGTTCTGCCTCCTGCTGGGACATTCAGGAAGACAATCCCTTGGGAAGAGTCTCTCTGTGTTGATTTGGGCCAGCTCTGAGGGTGCTTTCCTGGCACATGCTCCAGAACACAGCTTCCTTGCACAGGCCCTTTTTCCTGGAGGTGTGTTCCTCTCCCAGCTCATACACAGCCTTTCCCAAGAAGCTTTAACTATAAACCCCATTCTTCTCCCAAAATCTGCACTCAGGAACCTTCTGATGACTTCAGGACCCAGCAGGACAGGCAGCAAAGGGCTGTTACCAGCAACACCACCACAGTGCAGGAAAGGTTCAGAACCTGCTGCTGCCTCAGCGCGGGTCCAGATGGCTGCAGAGCCTCTGCTGTCAGCTCTGGATGGGACCTCAGGTTGACAGCAAGTGTCTGGACATCCCCACCACCCCCGAGCCCAACCTGGGAACGTACTCTATTGGGAACCAGTCTCCACAGAGCTGCTTCACTGTGTCTATGTCATCGTGGCAGAGCAGGCGCAGGTGGACGTCGGTGAGTGCCCTGGGGGGCACCTCCCCGGTCATTCACACCTGCAAGGCAAGAAGCTCGTTAGGGACAAAGATGATTGGGGGGCTGGAGCATCTCCCTGATGAGGAAAGGCTGAGAGCTGTTCAGCCTTATGGGGAACGGTCCATCTTCTTTTCCCCTACAGAAGACTAAACAAAAAATGCCTTTCAAGTCAGCAAGAGTGATGCCTTTTCACTGGTTCACTCAAGGACAGAATGAGCCTCTTGCCCTACCAGATAAGTGCATGGCAAAGGAGCAGCACAAGGGTTATGATAACTAGCAGAAAAATAAACAATAGATTAAAAACTGCTTCTAACAGAATATGTACCTGGCCAGTGGTGATTGGCTAATTCAGACAGGGCTACTTTCTCAAACAATGGTCTCTGATCCATAAAAAGAGAGTAGAATCTGCTCTGCTTGTCTGTCTCTGCCTGCCCAGGACAGACCCCACTGCAGCACCTGAACCTGCCTGACGCCCCTCCTGCTGCCCGGAGGAACGGAGAGGGGGGGGCTCTGCCTGTGCCCGCTCCCAGGGACCCTGCCTGCCCCGCCTGCACCGAACAGGACCAGAGAAGGAGCCTGCCCAGCCTGCATCTGCCACAGAGCCAGGGGACCAGAGCCCTGCCAGCAGCAGGCAGGGGTTGCCCCGGTCACTGGGACCCCGGCCCCCCTGCAGATCTCCAGCCCAGCACATTTCGAGAACTGCGCTATGCAAGGAAGGAGGGTAAATACACACACACACTTTAACTTTCTTACTGGGCTCAACTCCTACCCTTTCACTCCATTGATTTACACCTCTCCTTCAGAGTGTGCCTTTCATAGACCATAGTGCCTCTGAATCCCTTTTCCAATATACATACCTAGTTAACCTCTCCTGAACCTTGATCCCTTAGTTTGTATTGACCCTTAATAAACTGATTAATTTGCAAAACTAAACACTGGTCTCAGTTACAATTTGTGAGCATGGTGGGAGGGTACTTTAATCTACCCTACTTTAATCTACCCTCTTAGAAACGGACCCACAGAAGCTGTTCCTCTGGGAGAGGTGGGCGCTCGGGCTTTTTAACAAACCTCTCCACATTTGGGGGGGGAAGTCACGGAAACATCCTGACAGCCGGGAGCCCCCGGTACCGGCCCGCGACAAGCCTGGAGAGAAGGCTGAGGGGAGACCTTATCAATGCCTGGAAGTATCTCAGGGTGGGTGCAGACAGAGAAGTTGCTGATGTTCAGATTTAACAGGTACAGTGTCACCTTGAGCTTTTTTTTATTGAGGCCTGGTGAGAAGTGCTCAGTGTCACTCAGTGGGATTTCAGGCCATGGCTCTTTGCAAAGGAGTTAAGCAGGAGAGGGTGTGTAAGGCCTGAGGCCTCCCCTGAGTCCTGCTGCCAACAGGGAGGAGTCATGCATGGCCAGAGGAAGAGGAACCCCCGTGCTGAGGCCACACACGTTACCACACTCACCAGCTTCAAGATGACTGGGGGGTTGGAGCATCTCCCTGATGAGGAAAGGCTGAGAGAGCTGGGACTGTTCAGCCTGGAGAGGAGAAGGCTGAGGGGAGACCTGATCAATGCCTGCAAGTATCTCAGGGTGGGTGCAGGAGGATGGAGCCAGACTCTGCTCAGCAGTGCCCAGGGACAGGACAAGGGGCAATGGGCACAGGCTGGAACATGGGAAGTGCCACTGAAATATGAGGAGAAGCTTCTTTCCAGTGAGGGTGACAGAGCCCTGGGACAGGCTGCCCAGGGGGTTGTGGAGTCCCCTTCTCTGGAGACATTCCAAACCCCCCTGGATGCAGTCCTGTGGGATGTGCTCCAGGGGATCCTGTTTTAGCAGGGGAGTTGGACTAGATGATCTCTAGAGGTCCCTTCCAACCTTGACAATTCAGTGATTCTTGCTCCCATGGCATGACCAGACCAGTTTCCAGACCAGTTTCCAGACCAGGACCTCTCCCGGGGTGCCCCAGGGCCCCTCCAGCATGGGGCTCACTCCCTGCCCTCCCCTGCTCCCAAGCCCAGCTCACCTGAGCTGCTCAAGGACAGATGACAACACCCTAGCTAGCAAAGGGGGGAACCCCCTGGTGTGATCCACACCCACTGTGTGTGCCCAGCAGCAGTGGCTCAGAGGGAGCACTGGGACATACCCCTGAGTCACAGGCAGCTCCAGCTGGTCCCATTTCTCCCTCCAATTTCACCCAAACTTGGCTTGTCTGCACTGACTTCCAAGTCATTTCTCCTTCACAGCATCCCGTGACTTTGGTTTCAGTTGGCAGCAAGCCCAGCTCACCTGAGCTGCTCAAGGACAGATGACAACACCCTAGCTAGCAAAGGGGGGAACCCCCTGGTGTGATCCACACCCACTGTGTGTGCCCAGCAGCAGTGGCTCAGAGGGAGCACTGGGACATACCCCTGAGTCACAGGCAGCTCCAGCTGGTCCCATTTCTCCCTCCAATTTCACCCAAACTTGGCTTGTCTGCACTGACTTCCAAGTCATTTCTCCTTCACAGCATCCCGTGACTTTGGTTTCAGTTGGCAGCAAGCCCAGCTCACCTGAGCTGCTCAAGGACAGATGACAACACCCTAGCTAGCAAAGGGGGGAACCCCCTGGTGTGATCCACACCCACTGTGTGTGCCCAGCAGCAGTGGCTCAGAGGGAGCACTGGGACATACCCCTGAGTCACAGGCAGCTCCAGCTGGTCCCATTTCTCCCTCCAATTTCACCCAAACTTGGCTTGTCTGCACTGACTTCCAAGTCATTTCTCCTTCACAGCATCCCGTGACTTTGGTTTCAGTTGGCAGCAAGCCCAGCTCACCTGAGCTGCTCAAGGACAGATGACAACACCCTAGCTAGCAAAGGGGGGAACCCCCTGGTGTGATCCACACCCACTGTGTGTGCCCAGCAGCAGTGGCTCAGAGGGAGCACTGGGACATACCCCTGAGTCACAGGCAGCTCCAGCTGGTCCCATTTCTCCCTCCAATTTCACCCAAACTTGGCTTGTCTGCACTGACTTCCAAGTCATTTCTCCTTCACAGCATCCCGTGACTTTGGTTTCAGTTGGCAGCAAGCCCAGCTCACCTGAGCTGCTCAAGGACAGATGACAACACCCTAGCTAGCAAAGGGGGGAACCCCCTGGTGTGATCCACACCCACTGTGTGTGCCCAGCAGCAGTGGCTCAGAGGGAGCACTGGGACATACCCCTGAGTCACAGGCAGCTCCAGCTGGTCCCATTTCTCCCTCCAATTTCACCCAAACTTGGCTTGTCTGCACTGACTTCCAAGTCATTTCTCCTTCACAGCATCCCGTGACTTTGGTTTCAGTTGGCAGCAAGCCCAGCTCACCTGAGCTGCTCAAGGACAGATGACAACACCCTAGCTAGCAAAGGGGGGAACCCCCTGGTGTGATCCACACCCACTGTGTGTGCCCAGCAGCAGTGGCTCAGAGGGAGCACTGGGACATACCCCTGAGTCACAGGCAGCTCCAGCTGGTCCCATTTCTCCCTCCAATTTCACCCAAACTTGGCTTGTCTGCACTGACTTCCAAGTCATTTCTCCTTCACAGCATCCCGTGACTTTGGTTTCAGTTGGCAGCAAGCCCAGCTCACCTGAGCTGCTCAAGGACAGATGACAACACCCTAGCTAGCAAAGGGGGGAACCCCCTGGTGTGATCCACACCCACTGTGTGTGCCCAGCAGCAGTGGCTCAGAGGGAGCACTGGGACATACCCCTGAGTCACAGGCAGCTCCAGCTGGTCCCATTTCTCCCTCCAATTTCACCCAAACTTGGCTTGTCTGCACTGACTTCCAAGTCATTTCTCCTTCACAGCATCCCGTGACTTTGGTTTCAGTTGGCAGCAAGCCCAGCTCACCTGAGCTGCTCAAGGACAGATGACAACACCCTAGCTAGCAAAGGGGGGAACCCCCTGGTGTGATCCACACCCACTGTGTGTGCCCAGCAGCAGTGGCTCAGAGGGAGCACTGGGACATACCCCTGAGTCACAGGCAGCTCCAGCTGGTCCCATTTCTCCCTCCAATTTCACCCAAACTTGGCTTGTCTGCACTGACTTCCAAGTCATTTCTCCTTCACAGCATCCCGTGACTTTGGTTTCAGTTGGCAGCAAGCCCAGCTCACCTGAGCTGCTCAAGGACAGATGACAACACCCTAGCTAGCAAAGGGGGGAACCCCCTGGTGTGATCCACACCCACTGTGTGTGCCCAGCAGCAGTGGCTCAGAGGGAGCACTGGGACATACCCCTGAGTCACAGGCAGCTCCAGCTGGTCCCATTTCTCCCTCCAATTTCACCCAAACTTGGCTTGTCTGCACTGACTTCCAAGTCATTTCTCCTTCACAGCATCCCGTGACTTTGGTTTCAGTTGGCAGCAAGCCCAGCTCACCTGAGCTGCTCAAGGACAGATGACAACACCCTAGCTAGCAAAGGGGGGAACCCCCTGGTGTGATCCACACCCACTGTGTGTGCCCAGCAGCAGTGGCTCAGAGGGAGCACTGGGACATACCCCTGAGTCACAGGCAGCTCCAGCTGGTCCCATTTCTCCCTCCAATTTCACCCAAACTTGGCTTGTCTGCACTGACTTCCAAGTCATTTCTCCTTCACAGCATCCCGTGACTTTGGTTTCAGTTGGCAGCAAGCCCAGCTCACCTGAGCTGCTCAAGGACAGATGACAACACCCTAGCTAGCAAAGGGGGGAACCCCCTGGTGTGATCCACACCCACTGTGTGTGCCCAGCAGCAGTGGCTCAGAGGGAGCACTGGGACATACCCCTGAGTCACAGGCAGCTCCAGCTGGTCCCATTTCTCCCTCCAATTTCACCCAAACTTGGCTTGTCTGCACTGACTTCCAAGTCATTTCTCCTTCACAGCATCCCGTGACTTTGGTTTCAGTTGGCAGCAAGCCCAGCTCACCTGAGCTGCTCAAGGACAGATGACAACACCCTAGCTAGCAAAGGGGGGAACCCCCTGGTGTGATCCACACCCACTGTGTGTGCCCAGCAGCAGTGGCTCAGAGGGAGCACTGG